TACATGCGGGGGCTAGGGTGCCTCCTCCCGAGCAATGGTCTTATCGAGCCGAACTCGATTTTGTTCATTGTTGCAAGACTTGTAAAAAATACACAAATGCTCCATATTAACTCTAATTTCTTTAGCTCGATTGGGATGAAATGTTGAATAAAAGTTTTTCTATTTAAATAAGATTTTTTCTCGACTCTAGCTCGAGTTTCGAGTTTCGTTCGAACCTTACAAATCGAATTGCCTTTTTTGAACCAGATTAGCCTTCCAATCTACATGATCTCCAAAATAAATACTTTCCTACCAATAGTTGCAATTTTGACAATTTTCCAAATATCACAATAAATTTTAGATTTTCTACCTTACAAATATCACAATAAAATATCAATCTCTTCATATTTTTTCAAATTCAAAAAGTAGTTCATGTCCCATTACTGCAAATCTAATTATTCTCGAAATATTTGACTTCGACATGGAACTCGATACATTTGAAATTATAACATTGTTCCTCCAAAACATTGAGATAATCTGGAACGATGCTCTTTATTTTTTGGTATCAATTGTCATACATTTTCAATTTTTCAAATGATTCAAATATTTTATGTAAGTATTATTTTATTGGACTTTAGTTGATACATTTATTTCTTTTGTTTTATAACAAGTTGTATGTTATTTCATGCAAATTTCATTTATTAAATTTGTTTCCTAAGCATCTTATATATGACATAAAAATGGACAACACACACATATATATATATTTGTGTTTTATATATATATATATATATATTTGTATTTACTTATAATAGTATGGTTATTCTGCCTAGAAAATATTTAATTACTAAAATTGGAACTTTTTTGAATTTTTACCTATTCATTCTCAGTAATATTAATCCTACAATTGTGTGTCAACCAGATTTTGTCTCCTCCCAAACAAAAATTGTAAAATAAGTTCCCTTAACCTCATAAAACAATTTACTACACAGGATCAATAATATTTTGTTTGATGAAAATATTAATATTATAATATCTTTTATTGAATATTCACAATTTTGTTTTCCTATTACAAAATGCTTCATGAATTAATTCTCTTTTACCTCGCTTGGAATAAATCAATTTACCGACTAATTAATCAATTTTTTATTTAGTTGGTAAAACATTTTATTATTTGTAAACTAAAACTATCATTACATAATAGAACAGTTTTGCTGTGGAGTCATCGGATGGCTCGGCTTATGGAGTCATCCAAATTTGTTCACCAATAGTGTATTGACACGTGTCCTGTAATAAATACACTTTGGACAGGTGTCAATACATTAAGTGGTGGATGACTCCATAAGAAAACCATCCGATGGCTCCATAGAATTTTTGCACAATAGAAATAGGAAAATAATTTTTATTTTTGTAGACGATGATGTTTGGTAATCCAATTTTGGGAGAAAGATATTAGAAATATAAAAGGAAAGGTGAGATGAAAAAATCAATTAATAATATGATATGTTTTAATTAAGGCATATTATCAACCTATTAATAATCCAGTAGCTATAATAAACTTTATTAACTATATCTTAGTATAAAAAAACATATCCCTTCTATAATACAAAATGATTGGATACATCAATAAATATTGTTGCCATATAAAATACTAAATGCAATATTTTAGCACCAATTCAATTTTTACTTTGCCTCACGCATCACATGGATTCGAAAGCACAAAAGATGAAGAGGATGGGGATGAAAATTATAAGGGTAAGAGGACTAATATTATTTTGTGAGAATATTCACTAAACATTTTTAGTTACTAAGAAAAAAATCTGTACTTTTTTTTAGCGTTGTATATTTTCTTAGAAATAATCTATCCTTAAAAGCATAAGAAAAATATTTTTTTTTCTAATTATAATTATTATTTCAAGACTACTCAAATTTAACTATAAATAATTATTTTGATACAACATAATAATTATTACAATTTTTATTATAACAATTTCAAGGTTACTCAATTTTTATATTTTTCGTGTAATTCTTTTGTGAAATACATTTTTAATATACCTTAATCAAGCAAATTGTGTAAATTCGACTGATTTATTCATTCTATAAATAATTACTACAATTATGGAAATATCGATAACAATAATTAATTATGCAGTTTGCAAAAACTGTTCTAAAAAATTGTGTTAATGATAATTTTTATTTATATATTACTTAATAAATGGTATTCATTTTTTGTGTATTTAATTGCTCAAACTGTGGATAATGAAGGAAATAATTAGACAATAAAAATTTTTATTTTTAAGATACCATAATTACGCAGATCGTGTAAGTTCGGTTGATTTATTCAATTATAATTTCTTATAGAATTATTCTAAAATAATTGTGTTAATGACAGTTTCTATTTAATTATTTTTAATAACTATTTTTGGGTCTTTTTTTTATTTTTATCTATAATAAACGTGAGTCTTGATTTTGTTTTGTACGCTGGACAATCAATATCGTGGTTAAACTGAATATCATTTTTGTATTTTATCGATAATTTATGAAATCGAATATTGGTATATTATATATTGATCCAATATACCCGCTTATGGTAATAAATGATATCTAAATATTTTTTTTTCATATTGCTAAATATTTTATTCAATATTAATGAAAGAAAAATATGGTTAATACTATGGTCGATTCTTCTTTGTAAATGTGCGTGGAACATATCAAATTATTTGATGTGTGTGTGTGTGTGTGTATAAATGTTTGTTTTCACTTAAATCACATTGTAGTCAAATCAAATTTCTGAATATAAACTTTAAAATGACATCCATTCTTGAAATGAATATAATGTAACTTTTTATCAGTTATTTGCACCGTACGGGTCGTGTACTAATTTTAAATAGATATGTTTTATGTAATTTTGCACAATTTAAATTTTATATAACGTATTCAACAAATTAATATAGATTATAGGTAAATTGTATTACATATTGATTCCATATTTCGAATTTATAAATATTATTTAATGAGAATTTGTAATTTATAAATATTAATGAATATTTCTTACTCGTGCATTGCACGGGATTCGTACTAGTAAATATTGACAAATAAATATCGATTAATTTAAAATATTTGGATTGAAAGTTTTGAACAACATTATTGTTAATTCAAAATTTAAAAAGAAAAGATATGAATCAACAACGGACTAATGTATAATTCATAAAAGATTTTAAATAAATTAATTACAGTTTTAATATTATCACAAACTTTTTTAATTATTTACAACGTTTTTACTTTTTAGCATTAAAAAAGAGTGGTATTGAGAATGCGGATCTTTTGGGATAAGTGAAAGAATTTTTTTCGGCAATGAACACTTGTAAAAAACTAATGATACAGTTCAATTTCACTGCGCACAAGTGTTGAAGTGGAGTATGATTTAATTATCTTGGATTCATGTGGACGGATGATAAAAAACTGGAGACATTTTTTGGAAAAAGCAAGAATATCTGCTTGAGATCTTAATTTGTTTTACTTTTTCAATGGCAACAGAATATTTTGGGAAAACAAAAACATTGGACCAACCATTCATCAGGGATTCATTTTCTTTTCATTTCTGAAACATTATTATCCCTAATCAATGATTATGAAATCTAACAAGTTTTGTAAGACCTCGATTGTCGATTGTCATATGTATAATTGTTATATTTATTGTTTTATTTTTCNAAAAAAAAAAAAAAAAAGTGCTGTAATATGGTCACCGGTCTGTTTCTGGCATCCGAAAGTAGATCTTGGATTGACCTATTGACCATTCACACTAACCCTCCCCAGCTGTAAGCAATGCTAGTGCAACCTTCTCCTGTTTTACTTAATTAAATAAATAAATCTATACTTATATTAAAAGGTAGGAGTATACCATTTATCAGATTTAGTATAAAGAAAAGTTAACAACATTTATTGCATTACTATTTTCGTATTATATAATCTATACTTATATGAAAGGAGATTCTATTTACTACATTTACTATCTAGAAAAGTCAACTGCATTAAATGTCATTACTATTTTGATATTATAATATTTTATTTATTTATTTGATTTATTTTAAAAAAGTAAGTATAATAAAAAGATTTTAATAATAAAAAAATCAAATACCAAATAAAAATGTACACTTTGACAAATAAAACAAATCTATACACTGATAACAATTCTACTACACTATTTAACAATATTTCTTTTTTATTATATAATAAAATAATAATTAAATATTATATGGTGAACAACACTAAGTAAAACTGGTACTTTCTCTTATATCAAGGGATAAATTTATATGCTAAAATTAAATTTTTATTAGTATAAATGTTTTAGTGAGATAATATATTAATTATTTTACAAGCTAATCCTAACATGCTCATATTTAATGTTTTAAAAGATGTAGAAAAAAAAACTTATAATAACTCTATTGTTTTTTAGACTTAAACGTTGATTAAAAGAGGTAAAAATTCTTAATTTTTTATACTTAAACGTTGATTAACACCATAGATTGAGAGTTTATATTTAGTAAAATTCAGTATAAAAAAAAAAGAAAAAAAAACTACAATGAAAAAAGTAAGTCAGCTATATATCAATTTGTTATACTCCTCAAATCACAGTCACAATTTGGCTACAAGGAAAGAAAACTCATTGATTAAAATATTATTTTGTCAGTAGTCTTAATGTACAAGAAACTTTAAGACTCCACTTGAATATTATAAAACTTTTATTGAACATTGTACAATTTTTGTGCGTATTATAAACTTTTATTGAATATTGCATCTTATAATATAATATTCTCCAAATAAATATATCTCGTGCTTCGCACGGTCACGTACTATATATATCCCGTACATTTTTCTTTATTCATCTATATAATTATAAGTCTGGATAAATAGCCTTAAAATTGTGCACCCGTACATCGCACGGCCTCTGTACTGGTAATGAATAATAATCTAATTTATTACTACCAATATTTTAGGCGCATTGACATCTAATTGTCAGAAAACGCGTTAGGTAAAAAACCCAAATAGCATTATGGTTATTAAAGATTACGTCATAAGCAAAGATTTGCTTCGTTATACACAGCATCGCCTACACATTCTGATGAAGTAAGCAATCCAATTAGTGATGAAGTAAGCAGTTGAACTGCTTAATTGAATCGCGCAATTCAGTGATTACAGTGTACGCGAGGCTGTGTACTATAAACTAATGCAGAGAGAGTGAGTAAAGAGAAAAGTAAAGAAAAATGGAAGGACCAATGGCGTCTTCCCTATCTTCATCTTCTTCGTTTTTACTGATAATTCTACTCTCATCACTCTTGGCCTCCGCTGCTACTGCTGCCAACAATGTCAGCTATGACAGCCGCTCCCTCATCATTGACGGCCGCCGCAAGCTCCTCATCTCCGCCGCTATCCACTACCCTCGCAGCGTCCCCGCCGTCTGTCCCTCTTTCTATTATATACTCTCTGAAATGATGCTGCTTGTAGATAATTTGGTTCTCTGAAACTTGGGTTTTGTTTGTGGTTGAACAGATGTGGCCGGGGCTGGTGCAGCTGGCCAAGGAAGGCGGTGTGGATGTAATCGAAACATATGTTTTCTGGAACGGTCACGAGCTGTCTCCTGACAATGTCTGCTTTTTCTCGATTTAACCTCTTGCTGATTATGTTCTGCTTTGTTCTTAGAAATAAACTAACTAAATATCTAAACGTCCTGCTGTTTTGTCTTTGTGACAGTACTACTTTGAAGGAAGGTATGATCTGCTTAAATTCTGCAAGACAGTTCAGCAAGCTGGCATGTACATGATTCTGCGAATCGGTCCGTTTGTGGCTGCTGAATGGAACTTTGGGTACGTGCTTACGTAATTTACATTTACTTCGATTGGGGCCTCGAAAGCAAGCTCAGTGCTTGATTTGCAATTTTGTCATTTGTTATTGGGAAGTGCAATGTAATGAAGTGTTGTATGTGGCAAGTAATAGCTTATTGATCTAAACTCTGAAAATGTGAACTTTATCTTCACAGTGGAGTACCTGTTTGGTTGCACTACATTCCAGGAACTGTTTTTCGAACCGATAACGAGAATTTCAAGGTTCTGATGGTGTCTTCATCTTCTTATTCCTTTTCTTGTTTTTGGAGCCCAGTAGATTATGCGAGTGCTCGACTTACTTTTATATTAATGCTCGGAATCCCAGTATTACATGAAGAAGTTCATGACATACATTGTGGAGATGATGAAGAAAGAGAATCTTTTTGCATCACAGGGCGGTCCTATAATCCTGGCGCAGGCAAGTGTGGCCTGCTCTTTTAATTTTGTAATCCCATGTGTCTATTTCAGATCCTGTGTTTCACAAGTGATATCACTGGTACTTACCATTTTGTGTGATACTGCCTAAGGATAGAGCACAATTTGGCACCACGTTGTGTGAAATCTCATATTTGATTCTTTGTTAGTATCATGTCCTCCCAAAATCATTAAATCTTGGACATTATGTTCGGTGTTCTCTTGATGATAAATATTTGATCCTTCATTGTTGATGAGATTCATTAATCACTTCAGCATATATTTTTACTTGTAGAGAAAAATTGCATTTTCCACCATGCAGACGGCACCCTAAAAGTGCCCCTCTAATAATTGAACTGTTAAAGTGTGTTGTTGAGCTGGTTTCTTGACAAGTTTATGCTTTCTCCTCTTACATGTTCCCTAATATCTGAAGCTTTTACTTAAAAAAACCGATCCAAATATCAAATTGGGTGTTAACCATACTAGTATCGCTCCATACATTTACTTCTGTTTGAAATAACCTTAGCAACGTAAGTAGCAGGTCAATATTGCCTCTTCAGTCTGAGTTTACACCACAGACTTACAAGTACTATATTCTACTCTGACAAACAAACTTTTTTCCTCCCAGGTTAATCCCTAAAACAATATAAGGGAAAAGGAATATACGTTAAACTATCAGTGTGTTTAAATTTGGGTATTTAATGTGTTGCTTGCCTCCTTCACTCAGGTCTTTCTTCTTCATATAGAACATTCTCATTTTCTTATATGATGTTTACATTATCTTATTGCTTTGTGAAAGCGCAGGTAGAGAATGAATATGGATTTTACGAGCCTGCGTATGGGGAAGGTGGGAAAAGGTATGCCTTGTGGGCAGCTAACATGGCTGTTTCTCAGAATATTGGTGTACCTTGGATTATGTGCGAGCAGTTTGATCCTCCTGATATTGTGGTAACCATTCATCAAATTCTTTTCCCTTTTGTCCATCCACTCTGTCACTAGAAAGGTTGTAATTTCTCCGTTTTATCATGTGCAATCCTCCTTCATGTCAGTAAGTTATTTTACTTGCAGATAACATCCTAACATTATTTCTCCATCTTTTAGATCGACACATGCAATTCCTTTTACTGTGATCAATTCAAACCAATATCTCCTAACAAGCCCAAGTTTTGGACTGAAAACTGGCCTGGATGGTATGTTAAGATAGTAACCTTCTTGTTTTATATTCGTGTTTTGTGTTTTTGCATGCATATTTCCAAGATGACCTACAGCAGTGAAGATAATGCAGTTCTTTTTTGGTTTCAAGGGTTCTATAATAGTGGCATGCCTTGCTATGGAAAATTGTATTTAAACAGGAAAATAAATGTAAACGCTGCCCAACCGAGCTGTTAATAAAGAAACCAATATTCAAGTAACAATTTGAGTTCTCAACTGACAATTTGTATGATTGTCTGGGCTACTTATCTGTATTTTAATAGTATAGCTTCTGAAATAATGAAGTCCGGTTTGACAGAACTCTCATCATATGGAATTTTGCACACATGAACAAATCTAAAAGAATCTACTAATAAAAGGTTTGAAGAGCTATGGATGAGCTAGAATAGAGTTATGGTCGCTCCTAGTCACAAATAATTTTAAACATTTTGTACAAATGCAAAGATTGTGTGCCACAAAATATGAAAACCTGTGATATTGACTTCCCTCATTACAAAATCAGTAGCCAATAAAGTGAAATATAGTTTTGAGGAGACACAATTTATGTTTCTTGGGGAAAAAATACCTGTTTAGTTCCAAGAATGTCCATTTAATTTGAATTGATTTGGTAGCTTTTTTAGCGGCAAACTCATTGTTGCGCATTCATCTATAGATATGATACTAGTATATTTAGAGAATTTAAGCAAAATCTGAATCGTGAAAATGTTTATATTTGGAATCATGTAAAAGTGTGCCTGCTGCTTTTTCATGCCTCGAACAGGTTTAAAACATTTGGAGCTAGTAGCCCTCACAGACCTCCAGAAGATGTTGCCTTTTCTGTTGCACGTTTTTTCCAGAAAGGAGGAAGCCTACATAATTACTACATGGTATATTGTCATTGTTAGTTCTTTTTCTGGAGAGCAATCTTTCGGAACCTCCAACCCCTATTGATTGAGAAGGCGGATGTAATGATGCTAGTTGAAGTGCAATATGCTCCACTTTCTCTTACTTAAATCTTGTTTTTTATTTTACAGTATCATGGCGGGACAAACTTCGGGCGCACTTCTGGAGGACCATTCATTACCACAAGTTATGACTATGATGCACCCATTGATGAATATGGTAAAACTCTTCGAACTATTTTCTATATCCCTCTGAAATTATAGCACTTGAGACATAATTCTTCCAGGTTCACTTCTAATTACTATGTCTGATATTGCATGCAGGATTGGCTAGATGCCCCAAATGGAGCCATCTTAAAGAGCTTCATAGATCCATAAAGTTATGTGAGCATTTACTGCTGAATGGAGTACCCAGTAATCATTCATTAGGCCCTTCACAAGAGGTAAATTCTGAAATCTTAACTGTCACACCTTTCTTCCATGTAAATTTCTTTAGTTCTGCTTTCCAACACATCAAAAATGCTAAGGAGCCAACTGTTGGCTCCATGTGGGGCTGTCCCACATGCCTCCAATGTGGGACAGCCCCAGATGGAGCTGTCTCATTGGCTGTTGGCTCCATAACGGAACCAACAGTTGGCTCCTTAGCATTACTGTCCAACACATGCCTCCATCTCAATCTTTTACGATTTTTATCGTCTTCTATTTTTATTTTTAATTTTTGGATTAGCATATATCTATTAGTTTCAGTCTATCACTCCGATTTTCTCTTTAAACCCTTTTTTTTATTCGATGGACTTTTCGAAGTTGCCTCTGTCAAATAAACATCATCTTAACATTTATGGGTGATGAAAGTTGGTTGTAATTAACATGAATGTATATACCTGTGTGACTTCATTAACCATCTAATTGTGTCCTATCATTTGCATCATATTGCTACTAGATTTATGATTTACGTTAGACTTGTAAACACCTTGACCTTGGTGCAAGTTGAAGTTTGCGGTTAATAGTATCGTCTCCAGCCAATTGTTTAATCTTTACAGAATGAATGAACATTTGTAGGCCGATGTCTTTGAAGATTCCTCTGGAAGTTGTGCGGCCTTCATATCTAATACGGATGATAAAAATGACAAAACTGTGGTGTTTCGAAATTCATCCTATCTCCTCCCAGCATGGTCTGTTAGCATCCTGCCCGACTGCAAAAATGTAGTTTTCAACACAGCAAAGGTCAATGCTCAAAGTTCGACAGTTGAGATGATACCAACAGATTTGCAGCCATCAGCTATGTCACCAAGTAATGACTTAAAAGGTCTGCAATGGGATGTTTTTACGGAGAAAGCCGGAATTTGGGGTGCTTCAGATTTCACTAAAAATGGATTGGTGGACCATATTAACTCTACAAAAGATACTACAGACTACCTCTGGTATACAACAAGGTTTGTTTTTAAACAACCCAATGGTTAGAGTAGAATTAGGTGGAAAAAGCAAATAAAATATATGCTCGGTGAATTTGGCATCACATTTGTAAAGCTAACATTCTACGATTTTGTTTTGTCATAGCTTAACAGTTACTGAGAATGACGAGATATTGAAAAGCGATAAAGGTCCTATGCTTGTTATTGAATCAAAGGGCCATGCTATGCATGTTTTCATCAATCAGAAGCTCCAAGGTTATTTTCCTTCCTCGTTTACTGAAGTCTGCTAATCCTATTCCATCTTTATGATTTGAAGTTTCTAACTTATGCTTCTCACGCCAGGTACTCAGTCTGGAAATGGCACAGTTCCACATTTTAAATATAGAAGTCCCATAACGCTCAAGGCTGGAATGAATGAAATTGCTTTATTGAGCATGACTATGGGTCTTCAGGTACTTGGTCTTTCTTTTCAGTTTCATATGCTTTAGAAGTCCTTAGTTATACCTGATATGCCTTAGTTTAACAGTTTAAATTATAATATACTTTTAACATGATCGAGTCAACCATTTTCAGCTTCTCACAATCATTATGATCCCAACAAACTCATTTTACCTGGCTAAGATAAGATAAATCAAAAAAATATTTTCACTACATCACAGTAATGCTTTGATAATCCACTAAAAATTGTTGATAGACATCTTCAGGGCATTTCGAAGCATGTTCATGTATTTAACTTAGACAATCCTTGCAACATCTTTCTGCGTGTAAATGTTGTGCTTTGCCAAAAATATCATGATGAATAAAGCGGTGCGTTTCTCATATTATATTCTCAATTTACCCCAGACAATATTTTTTTTTTTTTGGTGAATAATAGAATGCAGGGGCTTTTTATGAGTGGATTGGAGCTGGTCCCACAAAGGTCCTAATTGAAGGGAAGAAGAATGAAACCCTAGATTTGTCCAACCGTAAATGGACCTATAAGGTGTGTTTACCTTTCCTCCTGTTATATGCTAATGGATGATAGCCACAAATTTCAAGCTTGAAATTCCTGACGAAATTACCATTATTTATTTTTCTATTCACATCATAGTAGATAACGGGTTCTGTTACCTAGTATGTGAATGTGCACCGGAATATGAAATTACACAACCATAATAAGTCTGTTGCATTTATGTTGTATTATCAGATTGGAGTGCAAGGAGAATATTTGAAAATATACAATACAGATCATTCGAATTCTGTGAACTGGTCATCAACTTCTACACCACCTAAACAACAAGCTCTCACATGGTACAAGGTAAGAGAAGTTTGAAATTTCCTTTGCTTGTAGTGTAGACTAGAGACAGTACAAGTTTGAAAAAATCGTTAAAAAATGCAGGCGGTTGTGGATGCTCCACCCGGGCATGACCCAGTTGGACTCGACATGGTTCAGATGGGGAAGGGGATGGCTTGGTTAAATGGAAACGAAATCGGAAGATATTGGTCCCGAAAAGCCTCCATAACCGAGAAATGTGTCGACAAGTGTGATTACAGAGGCAAATTTATGCCTAACAAATGCAACACAGACTGTGACAAACCCACACAAAGATGGTAAACAATAAAAAAGACACCATTTTTTTTCACATTAATGTGACTTTATGAGCATAAATATTACTTTGTGGATTAGGTATCACGTGCCAAGATCATGGTTGAAGCCAACGGGAAATGTATTGGTTGTTTTTGAGGAGAAAGGTGGGGACCCTACTCGGATTCGTTTCTCCACGCGGAAAGTCTCTGGAGTTTGCGCATAATCATGACAATATTACATTACAATATATTTATATGTACACTAAAGAGGGTGTACCATTGTTGTATACAATGATGCTATTTGTAGCAGTTGGCTCCTGCATTTTTCAATGACTGAGATCTTTGAGTTCTAAAGGAGCCTGTATTTTTTTGGATCAATTTTCAACAGCAACTTTACAATAGCATATCAAAGTTCCTTTTTTTGCATGAAGAATTTCTTTAATATTGCTTTGGTGATAGAAGATATCCAGGGGCAATAAATCAGCTCACTCTTTATTTTAAACACTGGTTTCAAGTTTCAACACAAATAAAATAAGTGAGTTTGATATACTTCTTTGTAAACAAAGAATGTGCACAATGTTCATATGATTTCATACTTCAATTTTTTTTTATTTTTTTTTTATTTTTTTACAATAAAACTCTGATCTCTATATGAAGTTATCAACCATGAGGTTCCCAAAATGATGGTATTTAGTTATATAGAAAAAAAAAAAGTAAAACTACCAAATGGAACTATAAAATGGGACAAGAAAGCAAGGGAAAGGTATTAAGACATTCAAAAAATTTGAGTTGAACTTACCTTAACGAACCGACTTCAAAATTTAAAATTATGTAAAAAAAAAATATTTTTGAGCCTTAACGAATCGAACCGATCTTACGAACGGCTCGTTACGTCTATCTGCTACTAACATAACAAAAATGTTGAAATTATCATTTTGTTTACATATTTTACTTATTTAAATTAAATATAACGAGATTAAAAGAAAAAAGGGGACCCATTTGTTGAAGGAGCCTTGGTTGAATCTTGGCTGCTCGGCTCATTTTTTTATTTTTTTTGGGCTGCTCGGCTCATTTGCCTCGTTCTTTTTTGGGTAAAATCTAAAATAATAAAACAGAAAAAACCCAAATTTTTTTCGCCTCCACAATTCTTTGCGCCTCAGCCCCTCCGCTGCCATCTCCCTCCACCGGATCTGTTTGATTCATTTTTCTGCTCATATACATACAAACAATACGTACACCCCTCCCCGTACTGCTTACTCATTCATATATACGCACATATTGACTGCTGTTGGTGGGCTGTAATTTCTTGGAGAGCCAATCGATCATTCTCTTTCATTTGAAGCACAGAGAAAAGATTAGAATGGATTTGGACCAGTGGATTACAAAAGTGAAAGATGGGCAGCACTTGTCTGAGGATGAGCTCCAGCTCCTTTGTGAATACGTATCTACTTCATCTGCTCCCTACTTTAACCTTTTTNTTTCTTTTATCTAATATCAGCTATCCATGTCGATTTTTCAAGTGGGTGATGAATCTTTTTTGGGAGAGGAAGGACAGAAAAAAGAATAAGATTAAATTTTTCCTTTGGATTTTTGGCGTTAGGGTTTTGCATTGACTAATTTTTGTGGCCGAAGGCCGGATTTCTGGGTGCTGGTTTCTTGAGATGCACCTAAGTTAGGGTTTTAGGATTGTTCCGCAGTCAATATGGTGGTTATAGTTTGTGTCAATTTGCTTCAGATGATGGCTGGTAGAGCTTCCAGATTTTCTTGATAACCACAACACTGACTTTTTCTCCTAGTGCTTTATATATATTTCGTTTGCAGATTTCCATGATATGTTTGCTATTGGTTACTGCACTAGTATTAGGTGTTTGTGGAAATGTTCCAGCTATGTGTACTTTATGGTCTTCGAGGCTGATGCTGGGGACCAACTATTTCAGCTTCTGAAGACCAAGTTATAGTAGATTTTCTGCAATTCCTTTCAATTATGGAATGTGCACCTTGATTCCCTCATTTTATATGCTTTATTCTTAGCTTTCATAATCCCCTTGAAAATGGTATGTTCACTTTCTATCAAAATGAGGGTGCCTATGCTGGCACCTGAGGATAATTTGTGTTTTGGGTTTAGAAATTGGACTTTTGTAAGTCATATTTTATCCATACATTCCATTTTTAGTTGGGCTTCTTGCTCGTTTGTCCACTAGTAGATTAGTGTTCTTGTTAGCTACTGCACTATATTTACCATGATCGAGTCAAGACAATCGGTTTGTAGTTAAATACGTGGACCTCAACACTTTCTCTCTCTGTTAAGACTTCGGTGTTTCTCAATATTTCCTTTATTCTATTGACTTCATGATTCTGTCTTTTTCCCGTCATGTCCACCCCTCTCGTGCTTTTATGTTCATCTGTTTATAAATTGATCTGTGTCCTGCTTTATTCAGGTAAAGGAGATTCTAATTGAGGAGTCAAATGTCCAGCCTGTCAACAGTCCTGTCACAGTTTGTGGCGATATCCATGGACAATTTCATGATTTAATGAAACTTTTCCAGACTGGTGGTCATGTACCAGAAACAAATTACATATTTATGGTAAATAGTTTAAAGTGATTTCACGCCTGTCTTTAACTGCCCATTTTGTGTCTATTTCAATATATCTTTCTTCTGGCAGGGAGATTTTGTTGATCGTGGTTATAATAGTTTAGAAGTTTTCACGATCCTTTTGCTTCTCAAAGCAAGGTACATCAGATTTCAGAGTTCTGATTATTTGTTTTCATTGCTAGTTTTTTACACTGTTCGTGCTTGCTTATAGATACCCTGCTAACATCACTCTCCTACGTGGAAATCATGAAAGCAGACAACTAACTCAGGTAATTGATATAGTAACCCTCACTTATTATGGTTGTGTAGCCTGAAGTGGTAGTTGGCAATGAAGTTCACTTATCATTACAATTATATCATACATATATGTAGACAACTAATGGTGTGACAGTTCATTTATTCTCCGCATAACAAAAGTATTTGCAATGGAAGTTGATCGCAGAAAAGGATGTTTACATTATAATCTTCCGAATAACATACTAACACGCTCAAATATTATATGATGTATTTGACCGATCTCACACTAATTCTGACATCTGGTTACTATGGCACATTTGGAGAAAAAAGGTTTGTTACTGCATTGCCAATTAATAGTTGCACAATAATTGAGAAACATATTTGTTGTTCTGTTTCTAAGGTTTTGCAATGTTGCTTTATTACTTGGGTTTTGTTTGTATTAAAAGCTGTACTCTCCTGGGTCTTAGACTTTGTTATTTCTTGTATCAACTATGAGTTATATGGTGATGAGAACTATTATTCCTTAAAATGTGTTAAGCCGAGGTTAGTTTTCTAATCTGGATTGGTAATGGATCTATACTTGCGTGTCTTTGGTAGGTTTATGGGTTCTATGATGAGTGCCAAAGAAAGTATGGGAATGCAAATGCATGGCGATATTGCACAGATGTCTTTGACTATCTAACACTATCAGCAATTATTGATGGCACGGTGTGCATCCTTTTCCCTTTAATACATTCTAGTAGGAAATAGTTTCTCTTTTCTTAAAGTTTTATAAATTCTTTGGAAGGAAAAGGCATGACTCAGCCATCTTCAGAAGGTCCCACTTCCAGATTTGTGACCTGTCATTTTTCTCTGTTATTGCTTGTGCTAATATGACACTTGATGGCTTGAACTTTTGAAATCCCAGGTACTATGTGTGCACGGTGGCCTATCCCCAGATATTAGAACCATTGATCAGGTTAGACCATTCTATCATCGGATGATTTTCTGGTTTACATTTTTACGAATGATAGTAATCTAATTTATGTTATGGTAGATACAAGGGAGTGGTGAGTGCTGGCGTGCTTTTCCTAGGAGATATATTGTCTTAGTTTTTACATTTTTCTGGGAAGATGACCTCATAGTTCAAGAATTCAACGGCGGAATTTTCTTCATGTATTTTATGTGGAGCTTTTAATTGAAATTGTTATATGCTATTTGTCATACTGTTATGC